ACAACAACAAAGAGGTGCGGAGCGGTGCGGACGCGAGACGGCGAACAAAATGGATTCTGTGCTCTGCTGTGTGCAGATCACGTGCAGGGCAAACTTGGGCCTGGTGGGGCGGGCCGCAGCCCTCGCCCTCAGCTGGGACTGCTTGTCTCCAGCAAACTGGCCCCCAAAGCCGGAAGTAGAGCTGTGGCTCAAAGGGTAGGGGGCCGGCCTTTAGCAAAAGAAGTTCGGGAACAGCACCCAGGCCCTGAGTTACTGTAGCCCAGGGGTCGGCGCAAGAAAAGAAAGGAAACAAAGCCTGCTGAGCGCCAGTAGCTCACACCGTAATCCTATAATCCTAGCTACGGGCCCTGGAGGCTGAGATCTGAGAATAGAGTTCAAAGCCAACCTAGGCAGGAAAGTGAATGAAGAGGCCCAAGTGGTAGAGAGCCCAGGCCCTGAGTTCAAGTGCCAGGACACTCTCCCCCCATTCCCCCCCAAAAAAGGGCAAAACCCTCGGCATCTGGTAACATGGGAGTGGCCCGTAGCAGGTGGTGCTTTAAAGGAAATGCACCTCTCAATAGGGCGGCCACTGGCAGGAGATCGGAATTTGAAGCTAGCCCTGGCAGAATTCCCAAAGCCTTAATCTAAAAACAAACCGAAAGAGCCGACCACCGGTGGCACATACCTGTAATCCCACCTACTCAAGAGGCTGAGATCTGAGGATCGTGGTTCAAAGCCAGCCAGGGCAGGAAGTCTGTGAGAATCTCCAGTGAACCACCAGAAAACCGGAAGTGGTGCTGTGGTTCAAAGTGGTGGAGTGCTAGCCTTGAGCAAAAAGTGCTCAGGACAGCACACAGGCCTGTGTTCAAGCCGCAAAACCAATCAAAAAAAAGGGGGGGGAGGCAAAGTTGGAACTCCTGAGGCCTTCCATTTCAACCTCCAGCCAGTATATGGGGGGAGGGAGGGAACATACATCTTTTAAATTGGTGTGACTCAATCTCAACGTACTAAAGAGTAAAAGTTACTAGACTGTGTGAAGTATATGTACACACATATTCTCACTTTTTCCTCTTGGAGTTATCTCTTGGCTAAAGGTGTTGTCTCTTCTAGGCTCTAGAATATGACATAAATTGTTTATAAATGATCAAGTTTTAGGATTTTTTTTTGGGGGGGGTGTCTGGTCCTGGGCCCTGAACTCTGGGCCTGGGTGCTGTCCCTCAGCTCTTCACTCAAGGCTAGCGCTCTACCACTTGAGCCACAGCGCCACTTCCAGCTTTTTTCTTTTTGTTTATGTGGTGCTGAGGAATCAAACCCAGGGCCTCATGCATGCAAGGCAAGCGCTCTCCCACTGAGCCACCTTCCCAGCCCCGTTTTAGGTTTTTTTTTATTGTAGTTTTTCTCTTTACTGTCTCAGGGCTCAGGAGGGAATCCAGGGCCAGTAGCCTACCACAGCCCTGGTTATAGCAACAGAAAAATGGTGATGGTTAATGTTGCCTACCTAATTGGATTGAAAAGCTTAGGAGAGCATACTTAGATGTCTTTACTTTTGTTTTGCCAGTCCTGGGGCTTGAACTCAGGGCCTGGGCACTGTCCCTGAGCTTCAGGAAGCTCAAGGCTAGCACTTGAACCACAGCGCTACTTCTGGCCTTTGTGTGTAGTACTGAGGAATTGAACCCTGGACTTCATGCGTGCTAGGCAAGCACTCTACCACTCAGCCACATTCTCAGCCCAGCAGAGCATCCTTCTGTTGTTGTCAGAGAAGGCTTTTTCTAACTGGATTGGCTCCTGAGAACCCACATCTAACAAGTGGCTAATCCATGGATGGGTCACAGTCTTTATTGGTTTTGTTTTGCATTTTGGTGGTAGTCCTGGGGCCTGGTCTCTGGGGAAGCCGGCTGCCACATTAGCCACGCCCCCAGCCCAGGATCCCAAATTTGCATAAACTCAGGCGGTGGTGGGACTAAGGAAGCTGGGGTTTGATTGGAGGAGGCGAGTCACGTGGGTGTGGCCTCGTGGACTATATATGGTCCTGAGTCCTTCCTGTTAAGCCTCGTCTGCTTCCTGTCCGGCCGTGACGGTAGCTGTTCCGAGGGGCGCTCCCCGCCATGATGGCCTGAAACCGTGAGCGCGATTAACCTTTTCTCCTCTGTCCCCCGTCCGACGGTTACTTGTCCCCATGGCCGAGGGGAAGATGGTTATAAACACTGTGGCCGACATGTTTTTGCAGGCTTGAAGCCCGGCGAGCGGCGACGAGGGCGGGCCGGAGTCATGAGCGACAGCGGAGAGCGGATGTTCGACGACGACGAGCGGGAATCCCGCTCGGCTTCCGGAAGTGGAAGCGCCCCGGCCCCCCGGAAAGCCGCGGGCCGCTCCCCGGCCAGGTCCCGCTCCCGGTCCCAGTCCCGGCCCCGGTGCCCGCGGGGCTCCCGGCGGCGGTTCTCCAGGTCGCGATCCCCGCCCCGCTCCCGCCAGCGATCCAGCGGCAGGGACTACAGTCGAGACCGCGGAAGACGGCGCAGCCCCAGCCGCTCCCCCTCGCCGTCCTCGCAGAGGCGCCACGGCGGGAATCGGGAGGACCCCGACCCCAACTGCTGCCTGGGCGTGTTCGGCTTGAGCCTGTACACCACCGAGCGGGATCTGAGGGAGGTGTTCTCCAAGTACGGCGCCATCGCCGACGTGTCCGTGGTGTACGACCAGCAGTCCGGGCGTTCCAGAGGGTTCGCCTTCGTGTATTTTGAAAGCGTAGACGACGCCAAGGAGGCAAAAGAGCGCGCCAACGGCATGGAGCTCGCCGGGCGGAGGATCAGAGTGGATTTCTCCATCACGAAGAGACCGCATACCCCAACACCGGGGATTTACATGGGAAGACCTACCTATGGCGGCTACCGGCGCTGGGATTATTACGACCGAGGCTACGATCGCGGCTCTGACGATCGAGAATACTACGGCAGAGAATACTACGGCAGATCGTACAGGGGCGGGGGGTGGAGAGCCCAAGACCGGGAGCCCGTGTACAGAAGGCGGTCACCTTCTCCCTACTACACCCACGGCAGGTACACCTCGAGGTCCAGATCTCCATCCTACTCACCCCCGCGCTACTGAAGCACCGAGTGGAAGACTTTCTGAAACCTGCCGTAGAGCTGCGAAATCTTGGGACAGTTTTGTTGTGTTGTTTTTTTTTTTTTTAAGAAAAAAAAATCGTCTCCTGTTTGAAAAGTGAACAGCGCCTAGTGAAATTAGTAAGGAAGTAACTACTTTTGGTTGAAGGGGAAAAGGCTCTTTTCATTCTGCATTTGTGTGCTTCGCTGCTTGCTTTAAGTTTAGTGTTTTCAAAAAGTATGGTTTGCATGTTTTTGTTTTCTTTTACTTTGACTGCTGAGAAATTTCTGTCGTACAAACTTGGTGTAAAACGTTTTTCTACCGAGTCCTCGATCTTCTCAACATTGAGGCCTGTGTGTAAATACGTTACCAAAAGGCAAAAAGCCAGGATGAATAGTTGCTTTCTTTCTAGCATATCAGTGCTTAGCACAGAACTATTCACAGAAAATTGTCAGTAGTAAATTCAAAGACAAAAGTACCCATTTTCCTCCAATACATAACATACCATATTTAACATACCTGCAAATAAGTTTTAAAAATACGCTCTGTAGCCTTTATATTTTTTTTCTCTGTAACTCTGTACTGCTAGTATTGGAACTAAAAATCTTTTCAATACAGCAAATGCGTAATGCTTATGTAAAAGTGGGTTTGTGAGTCTCTATGTAATTTGTGTATATGGTGGGGAACAAGAGAAGAATTGTGGGTCATATGCTTTAAAAGAGCTCTTTTTTTGT